TGGCAATATGTCTAGCAATATCTTTAAAGAGAGACATTGAGATTAGAGGGATAAAGAGACACCATAAGCTAAGTGCCCAGACATGATTGCTACAGATCTTAAGGCTCCTTCAGCAAATTTTCATGTTTGTAAGAACAGGAATAATTCTACCCTATGAAACAAATACCTGTATTGAATACGGAAATAAACACTGTCAGACTTCTGTCCTCTATCATCTCAATTTTATCAGATGAATCAAGTGAAGAAAAACTAAAGGTTGTATTTTAACTTATTTTTGTACTTGTTTAGGGGTTTAAAAAAGCTCAAATATATGGACACTTTATGTGAAAGTGTACAGAGAAATTTGCATTTCTCATCTAAATGGGGTGGGATCCCAATGTGTTCTGCATATACTATGGAATGCAAGATGAAATAGGGAAAGGAAAAAATAGCAGCATGTTGACAATAAAAAGGAACTGGGGAAACCAAGTCAGAGGTGTTGTGGTGCTGAAACTTTTTGAGGGAGAAAAAGCCATTGCATTTCATAGATAGTTTCTAATTGAGAAGGTGGATAGATTCTTTTTAGAGGTGAATGATGGGAAGAGACTTTAGTTTATACATTAACTTATATATTTTCCTTTATTTTCTGAAGCCGTGTGAGTTTGGGGAGATAAGAAAGACCTACAACCTATTGGAGTGTTTTCTGGGATCTTTGGGAATATTATTGTAATGTGCTGTTACAAGCGTGAAGATGTCAAAATTCAAAAACAGCTGTCAAGAAGAAGATGGGATACCAATATTTCTTTTGCAGTGTTTGTCTACAAAGAGCTCTACTGACATCTGGATGTCTGAATGCAATCAAAAACCAAAGCAGGTGTTGTTTAGGAAATGAAGGAAACAGTTACCAGTCATCATGAGTGCTGCCAAGCAGTAAGATGCTTAGGGCAACACTTGATCAGGTAAGTTACACCTTTTGTGCATGGCAAGCCCACATTTCTAGAAGTTTGAGTCACTCTGTGAGTTGTTCTGTATCTTGATAGTGTTTATTTGTCTGTTAATCACATACCTTTCCTTACAGCAGAGATCTGGAGATTTACTGCTGCTCCCAGCTTTTATGCTGAAAAGGTGCCATGTTTCTAAAATGAAAGTGGCTCTTTATCAAAAAAACTATTTACAGACATTCTCTAACTGCAGATAGCCTACTGCAGAAACTAACTTCCTGTGTCTCTCTGCAGACACTTAAAATATTTGCCCAGCTGCCACAGAAGTTACTTCTTTAATCCTTCTTCCATCTCTAGCTTGAATCTGTTTATACTTCATATAAGTCTGTTGTCCTTTCTCCTTTGATAAAGCTGCTCAGGTACACAGCAGAGGAGAAAAACCTTTTGATTTCCTCAGATTTAAGCCACTCAACAAAACACTTCTCCATTTTCCTTGTACTTCACCATACCCAACAACAGCAGTTAAAATTGTGGACATACTAGGAAAAGCTCCAAAGGACAATTAGCCTGGGAAGCTCTCAGTAGGACAATGGCACTTTTCTTTCTGCAAACTGGTGCATGCCAGAGCCAGGCCATGTGGGCAGTGGTGCAGAAACTGGGGAAAGAGAACCATCAGTGTCCCTGTGCTGAAAATTTCTGCAGAAGAAAAAGTCTGATGGCAAGACATCTTCCTGAGATAACATAGTCAAGAAGGGAGTTGAGGTATTTATTTATGCTAAAAGCTAGAAAGATAACCTGTCTGGCAGCTGTGAACTTTATGTTTTATAAGTAAAGATGCTTGAGAGTCTCCTCATTTGATAACATATTCTAGCTGTTTAGACTTCAGGGAAAAATACTAGAAGACTTGCAACTAAGTCATGAAAACCAGGAGTTCACTGGCTGTCCAGACTTCAGTTATGCAGGGTTGTGGTTTTTTTGTCAAATAAAAAAGAAAGCTTTAAAAAAGATATTTCAAATAAGCACTATGTACTCTATTATACACTACATGATCACACTTTATATTTTCAAGAAGAAAACAATTACTTGCACAAACCGAATCCAGAATGAAAGTAATCTAAATATATAAAAATTAATAGTATGACTGAAATTTTGCTCTCAGTTACTCTTTTTGAGGCTATGAACTGTGGCATAAATGAGGAAATACATTTATTCCTATAAAAGATTCCAGGTTGTTTTTATTTTTTTCCAGGATGGATTTAATTACTAAGAACAATAACCAAGTCTTATATCCTAATCATTCTTGTAAGAGTTATTTTATATTAGAATTTTCATTTGGGGCACTTAAAAGAACTGTGACTTTAGATACATCTAAAAATTTTACCAATAAAACTGGTTATTTTCATGGACTTTGCTGGTCATAGCATCTTAAATTAGCTTTTTCAATGACTTGTCAGGTCATTGAAAAATATTTTGTTCCCTTTTTTTTTTTTCTTTTTGCAGAAAAGGTACACTAGAGTGTATTTGTCAATGTATTTGTGACAATTCATGCCAGAGAATTGTACTCTTCCCTAACACAGCTGTGAGTTTAAAAGAGTAGACTAGGCTGTTGCCTGAGAAGTCAAAAAAACCCACCAGCAACAGTGAATTGCCCTGCCCCAAATACACAAGCTGGTGTGCTGCTAGTCGGCTCCAACAGCAGCAGCCTTTGAGAGAGATAGGTGATGGAAAAAATGAGACTGGAGGTGAGACAATATGTCAGAAATGGAATTAATAATGATGTATTTTGAAGCAAAATTGATGAACTGTTACAAGCATCTGGAGAGATTTGTTGAAGGGCAAGACACAAGTTCATCTTGACCTGATCATGAGGGATTGCTTGGTTAGGGGGATTGGACATGGTGACCTCCAGAGGTCTCTTCCAGCCTCAGTCATCCTGTGACTCTGTGACCTGTCAAAAGGGGCTAAATGACAGATGATCAAGCTTGTGCTCCAGGCTCCCCTGTCTATGGAATAGGCTCTTCCAAGATGGTAGCAGGCTGAATTTCCTGCTGAATCCCCCTGGCAGTGCCCCAGCAGGCAGGGTAGAAAAGGCCAGGCTCCAAGGTGGTTCTGGCAGGACTTAACTGGGAGTGTGAGATGGACCAGAGGGGAGCCAAGGGGCTGTCTTGTTTATGGTGTCCTGCCTCAAACACTGGTATTTCAAGATAAGGGAGAACAGGGCAATCATATACTATGACTTTCTCTTAGTACTCCTCCAGCCTTTAATCCTTGAGGTCTTCCTGGGCCTGTGGTGGTTTGCCTAATAATCTACAATGGACTTCTTTGCCCTGTTCTTTTGCAGTTTCTCTGAACCAATGTACTAAGTGCATCCACAAGATTCTTGCCAAAGTGTTTTCAAATTATATTACACATTGTAAAAAGAGATATAAACTTGATCTGGTTTTAAGCCTAGATCTCATTAGCTTAATATGTTCACCAATTATTAGGCAAAGGCAGCGTAAGTCATCCAAATCAGCTGCAACTTCATTGAGGATTTTGGAGGCCTTTTTCCTACCTATCTTATATTGTCTCTTTTCTGACATGAGCAATCAAACTATTTAACTTCTAAGATTTTAAATTAATATCTTAGAGCATACCATATGATCTTTCTTATCTTGGCCTTTTCTAGTCCTTATTAATCCTCTCTGTGCCAGAGGCCAGAAGTTCAGAGAGTAAACTAGAAATGGGTGAACCCTGGATTTCTATGATGCTGAGCTGATGAATGGACTTATGGATTATGATTCTGTAGTCAATGACAAGCAACATCGTTTTATACACAAAGATGTTACTGGGTTTCCCTGTGTGCATAACTTCACACTTACCAACACTGAATTTCACACACAAACATTTATGCTATCCCTCCTGTCTTTTGGGAAGCACATACCCTATCACCTTAGAGAAATAACACCCTGGTGGGTATCAGTGTAGACCTCATGTTATTTATGTTATTTTAAACAATTTGAACTGGAAAAAATTACAAAGAGTGATGAGTTTACTTCAGGATAATCTCTGGCCCTCTCATGTATCAGCTTATATGTAGCCAAACAGACAATGAACCCAAAATGTAACATAGTCAGTCTAGGGAACATTTATGAAAGCACAGCATCACAACCTGGTTGAGCAAGGTGATTGCTCTGCTTTTCTCTGTGCTGGTGTGGCCTTACCTTGCATCCTGGGTGCCACAATATAAGAAAGACATGAAGTTCTTAGAGAACACCTAAAGGAGCACTACAAAGATAGTAAACTGTGTAGAGGGGAAGCTTTATGAGGAGCAGCCAAGGGCGCTTGGTCTGTTCAGCCTGGAGGACTGGGAGGAGACCTCACTGCAGTTAGAACTTCCTTGTGAAGGGAAGCAGAGGGGCAGGCACTGACCTCTTCTCTCTGATGACCAAGAATAGGACCCAAGGGATTGGCCTGAAGTTGTGTCAGGTTTAGGCTGGATATCAGGAAAATATTCTTTACCCTGAGGGTGTTTGAGCCCTGGAACAGGCTCCCCAGGAATATGGTCACAGCACAAGCCTGACAGAGTTCAAGAAGTGTTTGGACAATACTCCTGGGCACATGGTGTGATTCTTGGGGATGGTCCTGTGCAGGGCCATGAGCTTGACTTGATCCTTGTGGGTCCTTTCCAAGTTGATATATTCTATAATTCTATGATTCCATGTCTACTGATCCTGACTGTCCGTTCCCAGTTTCTTCCAATGCACTGCTCCAGGCTGGGGATAGGACAGGCTCTGACTGCTAGGCTCCTTCAGAAATGCATAGAAATTAAAAAATATATGTGTATCAGTGCATCTATTGCATAAGGAGAAGGATTCAAGTTAGCCAACATCTCATCAAAGCATTGATACATTTAAAACTTGTGTGAAGGGTCTATGACAATGCCAACTTCTAATATATATATATCCATCCTGTAAAAAAATGTGAAAAAACCTGAAAAAAATCCACAATAACAAAGAGAAATACATTAATTTTATTTCATAACTTGGTTCCCTGCCCTCTTCTATGCTTGGACGTTTTTCACACATAGCAGGTAAAAACACAGGAATGAACCTTAAATCATGTACTTTTATTTTTTTTTAATTATTACATTATATTATAAAAAAGTTCAAGCACATTCATACGTTAAATTTCCATACAGTAATTAAAAAACAAGACCAAACACAAACACCCCTCCCAACCCTGAAAACAAACAGAAGCCTTTACATTCTTTTCAGTAAATTACATTAATACAAGTAAGCAAGTTGCCCAGGGCCCATATTCCCCAAACTGAAAGTAATATGGACATGAACTTCTCAGTAACTTTCACAAATTGCAATGTATATTTATATGTCTATATTTATATGTATATATGTATATGGATGTCAATTTACAATCACGCATCAAGGAGGGTAGAAGCCATTATTCTTATGGTGCTCCAGAAGGATGTATTTCCAAGATCAAAGAACAGTACGATGGGCCTCTTTTAATAATAATTTATTCTCTTCCTTTCTAATAAAGACTCTCCAAGACTTCACAGTATATGCCATCGGACTTGAAGGGTTGCTGTTAATGGGTTCATTTCTATATTCCTTTCTCAAGGAACAATCCCACTGACCCAAACAGGAGTTAACTAGAAGCTAGTCAGTAAAATGCCATGATGTGTACTCAAATGAGGCATCCTTCCTGTTCCTTTTTAAACATTTTCAAAAGAGAGATGAAGGGTTATGAAGAGCTGCATGAGTTTGGAGAGAACATTTTCAGTCTGTTGTAAGCATCTTTTCCTCACTTGAAAAAGAAACAATTCACTATTTTTCAAAATATAGCAGTTGATGTCCAAAGTACAAGGTTTCTGCCCTTAGGCTGTATTTTGTGTCAGTTATAGTTCAGGCACTTTGCAGCATATTTTAGGAGAGACTATGCACTTGAGGACCATGTTCAAGATAAAACAGAGTCAAATTCTGCATTAGATGTAGGAGAAGTAAAGCTTTCAATGTAAAAATATTTCCGTGTTAAAAAAAAGGAAAAGAAAAAGGAGAGATATTTTCAGTGTAAATGTAAAAAAAAATTCTGCCACAACAAAATGCAGAAAACAATTAAACAATTGTGATAGTGAGAAAGCTGGAAACATATGAAAGTGAATAGTGAAGGGTAAATTGGTGGAAGGTTTAGGTGAGTTACATATCACTAAGATTGGTCTTGTACACAGAAAATATATAGATCAGTTGAAACTAACACTGTGAAATGCCACAAAGCATTGAATGTTCATATTGGCTTGTAAACAGTAGTGCTAGGTTCACTCACATTTATTCTGCTCCAAAAACTGAAGAACATTCAAATATCTCACTATGCATGTTGTGGTTTTCCACCCTCCACTGGGGAGAAATTCATGGTAATTAGTGGTGGAAAATTGGTTTTTAACCATGAGACACCCAAATGAAAAATGGGTTTTGCCTATTACTTAGGCACAGGAGCTCAGGGATCAGTGCAGCATAAGACGTCTCAACCAACTATCTACAACACTGCAGACAGCTTTCTCCTCAGTGCTGGATGGAGATGAAGCACAGAAAAAGGATATGGTGTATTTTTGTCTTGCTTTTGAGGGGGTCTTGTCTGGTCTTCTCAGGTGGTTTGTGTCTCTCCTCTGTCAGTGAGGGTCAAATGTAGGTAAAAAGCTGTAAATACCACAGGAAAAACTTATCTTTTTTCTGTCCCCAGTGCATGTTCTGTAGCAGTTGTCTTTCCAGGCAGGCAGGCAGTTGTTGAGATGTGAGAAGGATTAAACATGGCACAGAATATGCAACAAGAAAGATATTTGAGAGGAGGGCTCCAAACACAGGACTGCTCAACCCACCTGCCATAACTTATTTTCCGGATGTTTTGTACAGCTCCATTCTGAAGCCTTCTTTTCCTCTTTCTTTTCTTCTTTCTTGCCTGCCTGAAAAAAGTCTGTTTCTGACATCTGTCCATCAGGAAAAGTTTTCATCTAGTTTCTGCTGGCACAGAATAACTCTCCAGTCTGTGGTTGAATTTTCATTTATCCATCTGAAAATTCTGGTTTATAATCTACATATCTCTGTAAGGAAGAAAAAGTCACCTCCCAGGCACCATGTAAAGCTAAATTCTGCTGAGGGGGATGGTTCTTCTATGTGTAGCCTACACATTGGTGAAAATGACCAGTTGATACTAACCACATACAAGCAGCATTGGTACTGTAATAGGTTAATGCGGCAAAGTCTGTTTCCTTAAATAAACTGCTCCCCGTAGTCCTGAGAAATGAATAACTTCAAGAAATGCAGCTGTATTTGCAAACGTTGTTAGCTTTCCTTTCATTGTATGAGATGTTTTGCTGTATAAGATTGAAATAAATAATATGAGTCAACCTAACCTTTTCAAGTGTCAGTGTGGTTTGACTCTGAATAGCAGGTTGGTGAGTGTTGTGATTTCACAGTGGCTGTGCATTATGTGTTAATGGTAAAATACCATGCTACTTTTATTCTTTTATAAAAATATAACAACAGAGAAGGAAATATAATTAAAAAAAATAACAAAACAAAAGAAAGCTTAGCACATTCTTTAGAAAAACAACTCCTCTACTCCCAATCCAGCTTTGTTGTATGCTCTAATCCATGTACAGTAATATTTCACATTCACTGAGAATTGCAAGTCTTTGATTAACTATAGTAGAACCTGAGAGTAATTGTTCTAAACATATCCCTTGGTCTTACGCAGCAAGGCTATTTCCAGACTAACCCTGTTTGATTTGCTTCAGTGCGTTCTTGAATAAATTCAGTTCCTTTAGCACTTCCATGACCAGAAAATCCTGAAATGCAATTTAATTACAGCTTGAGTGCTGTCCCCGGAGCAAGGTATCTTGAGCATGGTCTTTCAAAAGGAAATGTTTTCTGTGTCTACTCAGGAGTTTCACAGATGTCTTTCTTCTGGGCATACCTAAAGCTAAAAAACACTTTCCTGCCTTTGCAAATTGACTCTAACTCCCTCTAACCCATCCATAGGTCCGCTTGACATCGATCTGGCTGACATGGTCCTGCCAGAGAATAAACTTTCCCTTCTGTTTTCCAAGCTGTCGCTGACCACTACATTATGGCGAAGCAATTGCATGAATTTCTGGTAAAATTCTTTTGATGCAAAATAATAAATGAAGGGATCTATGCAGTTGTTGAAGCAACTGAGGCACAAGGTGAGCTTATAGGCAGGGTACAAACTGCTGCTGTAAAATAGGCGGCTGATCATATGCGCAAGTAGGATAAAGTTATTGGGAGCAAAGCAAGTGATGAAGGACAGAAGGACAATTGTTGCCAGGTATATGGATCTAGTCTTTTGCTTATTACCATATCTATTTGATGTTTGAATTAGCTTCCTAATGATACCAATGTAGCATCCAACTGTTACAACAAAAGGGATCAGGAATAGCACAACAAATAAAGTGAGGAGAAAGGCTACCCAAGCTGCAAAGGTGGGCAGCATATCCCATTTTAGTACATCAAAACAGGTTATAATCCCTAATTCTTTCACTTCATAGGTGAGGTCTGTAGTTTCTAGTGGGTAGAAGGCTAGTAGCAAGGCAAACCACATAGCTATGCAGGCAGCCAAGGCATATCTTTTTCTTCTCCACTTGATCAACTTCAAGGGGTGTACCACACCCATGTACCGCTCCATGCTGATAAAGGTCATGGTCAGTATGGAAGAATACATGTTGGAATAGAACATCACTGTCACAAGGCTGCAAAGAGTCTTGCCAAATCTCCAGTGATTGCTTTGGAGGTGATAAGAAATCTGGAAGGGGAAGCAGCTGGCCAGCATAAGGTCTGTGATGCTTAAGTTGATCATGAAGATAACAGAAGGTGTTTTGGGTTTGATGTGCCAAAAGAGCACCCAAAGGGAGAACAAGTTGCCAGGGATGCTGACCAGAGCCACCAGTGTATACACAATTGGGAGGGTGATGGAGACTGTTTTATTCTGGAGCATTGCCAGTGTCAAAGCATCCAGGTGGGATTCGTTTTTAACCATTTTTCACAAGTGGGTTGTTGATCCTTGTAAGCCAGATGGATCATATCATGAACATTTGGCTTGAAAACCTAGAGGAGAAATGACAAGTGAGGAAAACAATACATCAAAGTAGAAATTTAGGACATGAATCATATATTAATCAGCTAAAAAAATTCTTTAGCTTGATGGATTTTCCTTGAGTGCACTCAATGCATTAAAATTACTTTCTGAAAAGTCTTGCCTCCCTCCAAATTGTCATAATGTTTTACCAGTCTGACTTCTTCCTATCTTGGAACAGCTACCTTTTCCCTGGTGAATGGTTTTCTGATACTTAGAATCATAGAATCATTAACCTTGAAAAAGACATCCAAGATCATAGCACCTTTGAGCAAACACCACCGTGTCAATTAAATCATAGCACTGATTGTTGTTAGCCAGCACCCCTGGGTTCTTTTCCACTGGGCAGCTTCCCAGCCACTCTTGCCCCAAGCCTGTAGTGCTGCATGGGGTTCTTGTGGCACAAGTGGAGGACTTGGCATTTTGCCTTATTGAACCTCACACCATTGACCTTGGCCCATCAATCCCTCCTGTCTGGATTGCTCTGTAGACTATTCATTATCACACCTCCTGTGTTACTGGAACATAAAGAAAATCACATAATCACAAGTTGAAATTCAATTGATGTCTGTGTGAGAATGCTAGTCCATACATTGTCCATGAGCTAAATCCATTGTATCTACTCTAGATGTCATTACCTTGATTTCTGTAGTGCACAGTATCTTCTGACATATTTTCCCCCCAACTAAACTGTGATCCATTTCAAATAAGGGCTGGATTTAATTTTTTTTTTTCTTTTTTTTTTCAACTTAGGGAAAGGAGAACATGCATTCAATGACCCTTGCTGTGTTTATAATATAAACAGAATATAAGGAAAGAAACATGAGAACCAGGGACAGATTGCAATTGCTTGGACTGGTTTACAGGCTGGAGAAACCCTCTTCTACCAAGAAAAAAACAACTATTGAGCTTCAGTATCTGCAAAATGTAAGTTAGTTAAAAATGTTCTGTTTGCAGCTGTCTTATTTGCATGATCTGTAATTCTGCAAAATTACTTTCAGTTTTGCAGTCTGCAAAGCAGACCCGTGCTTTCACTGGCTGCTTTTCATAGATCTTTCTTGGCAGATGCAATAGCTCATGTTTTAGTGTATTTATTTTAAGCAGCATGGTAGCATTCAGCAGCTGCAGGAAAGAACCCACACCTCAATTTGTGTGCTTGGTTTCATTAAACAGCAAGTACGGTGAGGCAATTTCACAAAACTACAACATTGAAAAAGTAAAGAAATGGCAACATATGCCCAGAAAGGCAGAGGATAGATCTACAGTAGGTTTTGCAAAGAGTTACAATAAGGGTTGAAGAGGAGCCAGGCCAAATCAGCTGGTAACTGTGGGTCCATTTCTACTGTTTAAATACAGAGAGAGTGGGTTCAGGCACACTCCTGCTTGTGGACTCTCATCACCTGCATGGTTTATTCCAAGCATATTGTTGCAAGACAGTTCCGCTGTAGGAGGTTAGATTAAAAAACATAGGTGCCAGTTCGTGTCACTTAACCTAAAATCTTGTTTAAAAAGAGCTGTAGTTTGTGTGGTCATAGGCCATGAGCAGTGAAACTGGTCAGTTCCTCAAACTCCATAGCTGGAAATAACCATTCTGACAAAAAACTGTGCTTTCTGATAGAGGCTTTTACTGAAAAAACTTGTTTTCTGAACCATTGATGATTCCTGAGACCTGGCAAATGTGAAGTTTCTACTGGAGGCTAGTGCAGTAAAGAGATAATCAACTGAGAAAAACCTGAGTACAGATCCAGAAAAAGGTACAGCTAAGCAGTAAGCAGCTCAGTGGGGGCTTATTGAGGTTCTTTCTTTCTGATATATTTGACATAGTGCTTCAAATGTCACCAAAAATATTCGGAAGTGGTGAGAGTCAGTATCAAGAAAGTTGTATTGATTAATGTTGCTTCCAGCTAGGTTGTTGGAATCCTAGATAAAGGAATAAGAAAATAGGAATTGCAAAGAAATCAGAGATGTATGTATATCATGCACATAACACAGAGCAAGCATGTTTCAGGTAGTGAAATGATCATTAGATGGGCACAATTGCAAAAAGTCCTTTGAGTCAAATCTGTTGCAATCAGTTCTTGTCAGGGGAGTTCTAGCAAGAATGAAACTTATTCTTGAATTTCAGGCTAACTTGAAAAAGCACTCACTGTCACATAACTCTTGGAAAAAAAAGCCTTGATGCTCTCTATTTTAACTCCTCTGTCTGTGACTTAGCATAGCAAATGTTTATTCATGAAGTCTGTTGCCTCAAAAATCCTGCTCAAGTAGCATCCCTTTTTGCCCAACAACTCTATACTTCTCAAAACAAACAGAAAATTGTTGTCTATATCAGAGTTACCACAGTACTCTAATAATATAGAGCAAATGAAAGACATTTGCTGTCACAGGCCCCTAGGTGCTATTCCTATAGAAATTACAGGTGCTTGGGAAGGTAGGAATATAGGTGAAAATTTCCATTAAATCTATCACACTGGTCATAAAGCTATCTAATATGTCTCACATTTTGGTTTGTGTTAATCTCAAACTATTTTCTTCTGTACTTGTTTTTTCTGAGGGAACATCTTGATAAGAAGGAGATAAAAAATGCATGCCTAGATGCTGCCAAATGTAAAACAGCATCAGCCTTCACAGCCTGACTAAAGGCGAATTTTATGCATTCGTGGAACGCTACTGTCAGTAAAACATAAGTGCCTCCAAATGCAGACACCTCTTGAATTGGAATTGAAAGACACCAGACTTACTGATTATGTACCTACAAGAGCTTTCCAAAAAGGGTAGGTCTCCTTGACATTGTTTTCAGTAATGAAGATGTCCATCACAATGAGAAGAATGATGGGTGGTTCCTTTAGAGTCTTCTGCAGGGGAGAAGGGGGCATGCAAAGCACACAAGACTGATGTTGCATGTCATTTGTGAGGGCAAATAGCCTCTTGATGAAATGTGGAGTACAGAAAATCCTCCTTCCAATTTCATCTTTCCTTTTGGCAGATTCTCTGACACTAATCCTGAATTCCTTGTGAGGAAAGCCTGGATGAGAAGAAATTCCTGCTTCAATTCACCCTTACTTGTAATGATTTGCTTTTTAAATGCCCAAGTGTGTGGGGTTTGGCTTGAATAGAGCCAATTTTCTTCACAGTGGCTGGTATGAGACTATTTTTTGGATTTGTGCTGAACACAGAGTTGACAATAGAGAGATATTTTTGTTATTGCTGTGCAGGGCTTACACAGAGCTACCACCCGGCTTTTTGTAGTGCCATGCTGGCAAGGAGGTTGGGGGTACATGAGAGGCTGGGAGGAGACACATACAGACAGGTAGCCCAAACTGATCAAAGGGATATTCCATGCCTGTAACATCATTACCTTTGTATAAAGTAGAGGGAAGAAGGAGGAAGGGGGGACCATTTGGAATGATGGTGATTGTCTTCCCAAGTAACCCTTTCATGTAATGGGGACCTGCTTTCCTGGAGGTGGCTGAACACCTATCAGCCCATGGGCAACAGCAAATTAATTCTTCATTTTGTTTTGCTTGTGTGTATGGCTTTTGTTTTCCTTATTAAATTGTCTCAACTCACAATTTTTCTTCCTTCTACCCTTTCAAATCTCTCCCCAGTCCTGTCTGGTGGGGGAGGTGAGCAAGTGACTCTGTGGGCTTTGGCTGCTGGCTTGACTGAAACTACAGCAGCAGGTTAAGCTGCTGGAACCACAATGTGCCACTCCCATTGCTGCATCTGTTGAGGTTTAGTTTATGCTCTGTTTACATTTTCATCTAGTACAGGGTAACTATGTCCTTCCCCCACTGCACCCACAGTCTCTGTGTGTCTCTTGTGGTTTAATTTGTAAATGTAGTACATCAAGAGAGAGAAGAATTCCTCTTTAGAGGTTTAAAATTAGACTCCTCTTACATTTTATGAGTTTTTTCCATCCAACTTCAGCTTTCCAACAGAATTCAAATCAGTGAAGCTTGCATGGATTTTAAAACATTCACCCTAAGTTATGGTTTCATATGCATAATTTTTCAAAATATAGTTCTGTTACATATATTTCCCTGTTAGAAATACATGCTTTTTCTTTAATTTTGGGAGACCTATATTTAAAATACGACAGACCAATGGACATACTGAAACAAAAACTAAATAAGGATTCTTCAAGTGACATGATCCAGTCTTACAGACATTTACATCAGTCCTCAAGCTTGTGCCATAGAATGAGAAATGTTAAGCTTTTCTGCTTGCCTGATTTCTGAAACATTTAGTAGATGAATCTGTATTAGTCTCATCTTAAGTACTAAGCCTCTGGAGTAATACTCACTAAATCCAGGTAGGATTTTTTTTGCTACTCTTTGTACTCACTGGCTTGTGGCACTCTGCACAGAAAACTCACTTGGAAATTCAGTGCCATCATGGTTTCATCCAAGTTGCAACCATAAGCTAATGTGACAGCTGCTTAATGCTTTTCTGATAGGAATAGGGATTTCTTTCCCTTCAATTGACAAAAGATGATATATAAAGCATTAAAGGCAGTACTGAAAATCAAACAGTAAAAAAATCACAAGATATGTGTTACTTCTTTGGTGTGGAAGAGGAACAGCAGAGATGTCTCTATTTTTAGAGAACTGCTAAATTAAGCTGATGTGATTTCTCTCTTACATCTTTTATCTTCCTGTTGTCAGTGTCAAGCACACCTGTGAAAAAGACTTAAAAGCCCTTGAGTGAAGTCAAAATGAAAATTGCCAATTTATAAAAAATTGAGATTTGCTTTGTGATTTGAGATGGAAAAATAACTCTTAAAATATATCCCACAGCAGAAAGCCTTTCAAAACTATTGTGTTTCATAATTTTTGGTTAAAGCACTATTGCATAGGGGACAAAAGTTCTTATTTCATCAATTCTTTGATATTGTTACACTTTTAGAAAGACACCCTTCTAGATGAAGAATGTAGGATGACGTTTCAGATTACAGGAAAAACAAACTGAG